ATATATATATATTTAGTATATATATATATACATATATATATATATATATTTAAATATATATAAATATATAACAGCACACCTTTTGAGGTCTTGGATGATCTTTTGACGCTTAGTGCGCTAATGACTAACTGCCTGACTTGCTCGTTTGTCGTATTCGCGTCGTGCCTGAACTTCACCTCTAATTTTTGCATATAATAGGTATACGTCGCATGATCGCATTCAGTTGTTTCAAATACGTCTTCTTATTTCTGTCTTTGTAGGTTGGCACAAAGTGTGACATGCTGCTGCCCAACGAACAGGGCCAACTGGACACACTGATGAGGGCGTCGCAGCAGTGCTTGTTCCTATACACAACCCCGTCAATGAACGCACTCGGTGGTTCGAAGGCAACTTTGTATGGCTCGAATGTCACAGATGGTACCGGGACGGATAGCGGGACAGGTGGTCCGGAAGAGTGGGATATGGTCAATGATGCCGAAGAAGTTAGTGAGCATTCTCGAGCGGAAGATAAAAATAGCACCCAATCAAAACACCGAAAGGAGAGTGCGGAGCTTTCCGCGGGAGAGATCGAGGACCATTCGGAAAGAGTCATTGGGCGACGTACCCGGGGAAAGCATGGCAAGAAGAAACATAGAAGTGTTGTGGATGACGTTGTGCCGATGGATGGCGGGGATGAAAGCGATGACAAAAAGGTGTCAGGTGGTAATGGTGACACGGCGGTGCCCGTTGAGAAGGTCTCAGTTGCCAATGTAGATGCAGGTGCTGGTAAGGGCCGGGCTATTGCGAGGTCGGTGACTGGTGAGGAAGAGGCAGGAGAGACAGTGGTAGACACAGCAGGCAGCGTACCGAGAGGGGTTAGAAGTAGTGTTGACGGGGTAAAGGTAAGGATAAGTGAACCAGAGAAGGAGTTGGATAGTATAGTTAGTAGTGGAGTTCGCGGGGCTAGTGACGGGAGTGGGGTGGGTGCTATTGTGGGCAGTAAAACTGTAGGTAGTACTCACAGCGATGCGAATGTAGGCGATGCTGTTGTAGGTGGTAATAAGGTGGCTGCATCTAATGTAGGTACCGTTTACGACGGCGTTGTGGTTGCCACGGGCAACGGCGAAAGGGTTAGCAGCGGCTGTGCGGATGCTAAGTACTCAAATATTGACGACTCCCATTCTGAGAAGAAACATTCAGATCAAGATACTTTAAGTAGGAGCCAATCAAATGACTGTATTATAAGTGAGAACCAATCAGATCACAGTATATCAAGCAAGGACCAGTCAGCTCAGAGCAGTGCTGATGACGTGGACCAAAGGAGGCGAAGTGAGCATTCTGACGATTCAGGCAGTGAGGACAATGAAGATGGGAAGGTGCTGAGCGAAGGAGAACACAACGCAATCGGAGAATCAGAGGTATCCTATATATATATATATATAATATAAATAAATGTGTGTGTGTGTGTTTGTGA